GTATATCGATCATCTTCAAGAAACCATGTTAAACGTGACCGGGTTCTGTGACTATGTGAAGACAAAGAACCCATTCATGCACATGGAGTATCTCAAAGCATACACAAGGGTCAACTTTTTTGAAAGGCGTATCACAGAATACAGTACTATCCATGATATCGAATACAATGATAGGTTTTTTGATAATTGTAATGAATTAAAATTTGATAAATAAATCATATTATAAATTTATATTTAAAGATGTTACTTGGTGCCTGTCATAAATTAAATATGTCAAGTTATAGAGGTTTACTCATACCTGAATTGGCCGAGATGATTGTGAACCACCTCAAACTTATTGATCTCTATCTATTAATAACATTGAACAGGATCGTTGCCTATTTTATAATTCAAAGACTAAGGAATGATTTCTTTAGAATATTTAAAATTTTCTCTGATTAGAAACAATATTCTGATGAGAAAGTATTAATATTAAAAGGAATAATACATATTCTTTTTGGATCATCGAGAGAGAGAACAACAAATATCATAACATGTTCATTGGTAATCAAAGAAGATATAACCATGAAGAACTCACTTTATGATTATTTAGAGTTTATAAATTATATTAATCTCATAGATATATATGATACATTCTCTATATTCTTAAAATCTAGCGATTTACATACTGTTTCAAATGAGCTTTTTGTTAAGATTGTATACAAATCAAAGAATCTAAAGAATGTTACTTTAACCGTATTAGGGTTGAAGAAAGTATCATATGAAGCAGTAATTGAAACTCTCAAGAGGAAACCATTGAAACTACTTCGCATTCTACCAATACTATTCGATGATGACATAATTGAATCATACATCACTTCAGAAATAATGATCAGAGAATTAATCAATGAATGTAACATAGATATATTATGGATCGAAGAACCACTAAACATTCAAAGTACAAATATCATGAAACTAGGAGTCAATAATCGAAGTAGGGATTATCAGTGGATTCAGTAATCTACGCGAACTCACACTTTGTGATGTTTTATTTGATAGAAACTTTATTTTAGAATTACAGATCCCACGAGTTATGATTTACACTCAGGGCAATTTTTTAGAATTTTATTTTACAATAAAGGAAAATCTACACGTTACAAGTTTTGTTATCGAACAAGATATTAAATATTCCTTTATTAAAAGTTATATTTATTTTAAAACTACGGTACAA